CAGTGACGTCAGAAACGGAGAAGAAAACACTATATAACCCAAAAGTTTGTAACAGTACGTTGAACAATACTTCGGTTTTGTTGTTTCTTGCGGGAAACAAGACTTCGGCTTTATTGTTCCTTGCATGCAATAAACTTATCTGTTTTACTTCATCTCGGGATCAAGAACCTTATTTCTTCTGTTACAACACTACTAACCTCATCAACTCCAATGATGTCACTTACACCACCTATACATTCTCAAGGACCCTAGTCACATACTGTTTTCCCTCCTACCATCCGGTAAACGGTATTGAAGCATTTAGTTGGACAGAATGTATTGCATACACCTAGGACACATTGCAGCTCTACTGTATGTATATTAAGCTCTGAGTTTATTTTGTAAAATTTCTATTGCATTATTATCTATTATTATGTAACCTTGTTTTGTAACTTTAATTTTGTGATTTTTATCCCCCTCCGGTGAGCTCGCAGAAAAGACATTTCATTGCCAGCAACTACTGCTGCACACTGTATTGTTGTGCATTTGATAAATAAACTTTGATTGATTGATTGATTAATTGATACTAGTCAGTCGTCCATCTGACAGTGACCAGCTAGATGTTGTGGACAGTTGTTCCTCCACTACCTTTGTACAACAGCTAGCATTTTACACAAATCTCCACCTGCTTTAGACTGGGTGTTTTTTTCATTTGCTTTTTTATTGAAAACCTGGCATAATTAAGATTGAAATTATTTTTTGTTTCACACTTGGAAAGGATTAACACTAAAAAAATGTCTTAAAAAAGTGATATCTTTCATGGAGCACATAATGATTTTCAACGTTCTAGGTTGCGATAAAGCTGAAAGTGCTGAATCAGCCCTTGAAGATTCTGTAACACTGAAAAGAAAACAAGCTGTTTCTTGGAAATGGAGCATGAAAGTGAAAGAGAATCAGGCTGGGTGGTGGCAGTTAGACAGGATGTACAAATGCATCTATCTAGAATACAGGATGTGTCAGGTGGTATACTGAAGTAGAGAATATATTTGTGTAACTTTTTAATATAATTTTTTCAAACTTTCTGATTCAGAACTACACTCTGTGTTAACAGCCAGGTGGTGAATTGAATTCTGGCACTGACTGTGCTTGTGATTGTCAGACAAGTCAGTACAGTATTAGATGATTATTAACCTATTAGTGCTTTTCTGGACTAGTCATATTGTGTGCATACTGCATGAGTGACAATTTAATCAAATACTGCACAGTGGCTACATTGTTGAGACAGGGTGCAAACACATTGTTACCAAATTTAAAATGAGATGCACTACTATTAGTTATAATACTGTATAATATTATTTTAATGGCAATCCCTTGTTTCATATAATTGTTTTTAATTGCATACAATACACAGAATTGTTATTGTGTACACTTATCAGGAAACCTTGGTGCGATCTGTGCACTGATTGTTCACTGGTTAATACCAGCTAAATGGTACAGAATGTTAGTTATGTCACAATCCACATGGGTATAATCAGCATTTCCCCAGCATATTGTACAACAATACAGTATGTGGATAAAACCTTTTGTGGGTGAGCCTTGTCCAGTCTGTCTGACTGGACTGAATACAGACATTGAAGTGCAGAAACTTTAGGAATGCCGAATGAGTATTCGAAGAATGTGAAAATTGCTAGTGTTGTTACACATAGAATGTAAAAAGTCTGAAATCAAACAAAAACTTCAGTACTGGAACTGGCCAAAAAAATAAAGTATCTCCAAAACTAGTGACTGTGGTGACAATGAGACACATAGGACAGTTCCCCTAAAGGTTAAACATCTTGTACGCAAATATGACATTCAATACTGAAAGTGGAAAATAAACAAAGTTTTGTTATTAGCAATCATTTCCTGATTGGTGCTGTTTCCTATAAATATATTGTAATGTGGGCAATAGTCACATCATCAATAAATGAGTGGTAATGGAAGTGCTCTTTTATTGATCAGAAAGACATATTTTTTTCTTTATTTCTTTATTTTTCAGAAAAGATTTCACAGTTAGATACAAATTCTAACAAATGATTGAACTAACATCATTTAGTGTAGAACTCCGGTCAACTTTCTGCTTCAGTCCCAGTGTTGGGCCCAGAATTGTTACTGTGTACACTTATCAGGAATCCTTGATGTGATCTGTGCACTCATTGTTCACAAGTTAGTATCAGCTAAATGGTACAGAATGTTAGTTATGTAAAAATCCACATGGGTATAATTGACATATCCCCCAACATACTGTACACCAATGAGTGCATAAAACCTTTTGTGGGTGGGCATAAATTGCAAAAGATACGGAATAAAACCAAATGTTCAGTACTGGAATTGGAAAAAAATAAAGCTTCTCCAACATGACAAACAATACTGAAAGTTAAATTTAAACTAAGTTTCATTTTTAGTAGTCATCTCCTGATTGGTCTGCTGTGTTTCCTGTAGATACAGTATATGTTCACTGAAACCTTTCGATTTGATATTTCTGGCAGAGCAGAAAAAGGCCTTTGCTCCTTTGTTTTGAAACTGGTAAGAAAAAGTATAATTTTTATACTTCCAACTAATATTTAATTTTTTGGCATTAATGCTGTACTTGCACTATTGTATTGTATTGCAACACCAGAATAACAGAGTTGTCAACAACATCAACATCAACAATAATGATAATAATATAATAATAATATGCTTTATTTAATTTTATACAAAAGATTTGGAATAAACTATGGGTAGACACAAAGCCAATTTACCTTCTAAAGAAGAAGGCTTTGAGCCTGAAACTATATGCTACAGTATGTAGAAGAGCTTGGGGGAGAGGAGACCTGAATCGGTAGAAGAGTAGTAAATCAGGTACTGATGTACCAAGCCATACAGAGCCTTATAGGTGAGCATGAGGATTTTACAGTTGACATGAAACCTGACAGGAAGCCAGTGCAAGGACTCCAGGAAAGAATGACATTGTTCCCATATGTTTGCAGGATGATAAACTTTTAAAATTAATATTGTTTCACAAAATTGATGCTGATTGAATGTAACACAAATGATGTTTTTCAGTAAAGAAATGGGTGGTTCCAAATCAAAAGGTAAGATTCTTCTTTCATACGTAATGTACAAAAAATTAAAACAAGAAGTTGACTGGACGGCCAAAATATTTTTTTTCTTTTGGTATTCAACGTTGAGTTAACTATTACTTGTTCCTTTAATAAGCAATTTCCCTTGGGGAAAGCATTCCAGGTAAAACATACAGGAATACTTCTGAGACACAAAGAATATTTTTATACTCTTTGTCATGCAAGTGGCAATGGTGCTTGTCTCAAATTTCCAGGACCTAAGGAAGCCAGCAAGTTATTTTCTTCCTCCCTGAAATTCAAGCTGACATTGTGTACATTAGCTGAGTTTGATCTCGATTTCCA